TACAAAGGTCTACAAACAATGTGGCAAGTGTCGGTGAAAATAATAACTCCGGCATTTGCCGTAGTATGAGATGCTACCACTGTAATGACAAGCGATTCACGTGCTTCAACCCAAAACTGAGGCGATAAAGAATTTTACAACTTACCCACGTCTTTTCATAAACAGTAAAAATGCTTAGGCTTACAACGTAACCTCACTTTTAATCAACATGTAATGCACAGCAAACGTGGAAGCGATGGCAGGAGCTCTCAACATTTTATTTTTGGTTCGGAGAAGAACCCTTAGGGGGATGATTCAACAAAATTTTGTAGGGAAGCTATTTAATAGCCACCTTTGCCCAGTAAGGATACGTAAGGCATTTCAATAGAATCACCTAAAATGTTTGGCCCACAAGAAAGGAGCTTTGTCGCCCGCTTTCACACCACGTGACTTATCCACCCAAAGCGTTTTTAGTGATACATATACAGTATATACATGCATTACACTGCTGTCATGCTGAGGCCATTGCATGAAGCCAGCAAACCATACACCTTTTACTTTAGCGGGGAGAAAGTATGATAGAATTTTCTATGTCACACAATCAACAAACTATAATTCAAACAAATGTTTAAGACAAATTAATAGAAGTCAATATTTTAAATGTTCGCAGATGTAAGAAATCTTCGTTAGTTACGTGCTTGATGACTTCATAACCTTTGATTATGGACTACCGTCCTCCTACCATTCATGTTTTTGAGAATATACAAAGTGGGACTGATGGAATTATTAGAAATTGCTACAGCTTTATTTATTTTTAAGTCAGTGCTGCGACACGGTTTATTAAAAATTGAGAAGGTATTTCAAAGTGGTATGACTATTACAAATTGTGACAGTAAAACGTAATGCATTGGTGTTACTGATATCGCAAAATCATAAAAATTACAGCAATTTTCTGTTTTTTTTTCTTTTTTACAAGGTACTTAAAATCCATAATAGTAGCAGAGGGAGTACCGGCTAGGCCTTTTTTGTGGGTTTAATTAACTTTTGCAGTGTGGAATACATAAACGCCGATGACGTCGAAGCTTTTTGGCTTTTTCTCATGAATAAAATGCGGTGGATTTAAGGTCATGTGCTATTTTACGGTGGATTAACCGGTTGGATAAATTTTCTAGTTATTTTAATGTCGATAAAGGTCTTGCTTTTTGTTTGATTTACAAAATATTTGTTGATTCATGTTTTTGAAAGCTATAAATCATATTTTCCATAAGCCATAACTCGCTTGCGACTTAGACTAAAATCACTGAGTTGTATAATTATAAAAGTTCTGTTTCCTGCCACAACACCATCGCCACCACACATTTCTATTGTTTTCCCTCCACCACCACCAAAACCACATATCTACCGTCTTCCTTCCACCACCACCACCACCACATTTCTGTATTGTTTTCCCTCCACCACCACCACATATCTACCGTCTTCCTTCCACCACCACTTCCACAGTTCTATTGTTTTCCCTCCACCACCACCACCACATATCTACTCCCTTCCCACCACCACCACCACAGCATTTCAATAACATAGATAAACACTAGAAATGCGGTGTGGTGGTAGTGGTGTAGGGAAGACAGTAGAAATGTGGTGGTGGCGATGGTGTTGTGCAATGAAAGCGGCTGGAAGTAGGACTTGCATGATTACGTTACGACTCAGTGATTTTAAGTCACACGCGAGTTAGCGCTTATTCTTTCGACAACATTAATCAACAAATATTCTTAGTTTTTTGTCAACCAAACAAAAAGTAAGACCTTCATCGCCCTTAAGATAACCAGAAAACCTATCCAACCAGTTAGTCCAACTAAAAATAGCACATGACCTTGTCTCAATGAGAACCCACTGCATTTTATCCATGAGATCAAGAAAAAAGGCTATGACGTCATCGGCATTGATGTGTTCCACGCCAAAATTACTTAAATCCCCCAAAAAGGCCTAACCGGTGCGTCCTATACTACTCATAATTAATCTCTTTTCAGAAAACCGGGATTAAATGAAAAACAAAAGAGGGAGTTCAAAATATTCATAGATGTTTATGGACACAGATGACACTGATGTGTCTATTTAGTGACTAGAGATTTGTATTTATTTACCATCTTCCAGAGACTATTTGATACTACTCAGCTCGGGTTTTTTTCCGCCTAATGAAGTTACTTTATGACCTGTTTTCTTAAACAGTATTTTTTGTGAGTTAAAAAAAAATGGTTGATGATATTTTTCCTTAAGTTGGTTCTTCGTGTTTTAGGCCTGCATTTCACATGGGCCAAATCTAACGCAAATAAGCAAGAACAATATATTTTCCTCATTATCATAATTTTCGAGACATGTGAATTACGACTTTCGACCCGGTCCTGACTGACATGAATTTTGAACAAACTTAAGGTGCCTCATTTTTTTAATGGTTCTCCTTTAATACGTTTATCCGCAGATACAAAATTCACAGTCAAATTTCTAGGTTTAGTACTTCAAAGTTAATTATCCAAACAAGTCTGAAATCCAAAATCTTGAATTTAAAGAAACGAAATTAATCTACATCAAACAAAAGTACATTTATGAACGAATGGTCCAATACAGGGGGTGGAGGAAGGCTTGAAAACACCGATTGACACCACGTGAATGCTGAGTAACACTCGTGGGCGTGGCCATCCTTCCCTCCCCTCCATGGAGAGGAAAGGGCATAAATGGGTGACGTCAGAGGTTCGTAAATACGGAGCTTAAGCAGCGACGTTTTTGAGCCACGGACGTCAACCGGAAGTGGACTTTTTGCACTCTTGAGCCGTGATTTTGAACGAATTTTTGGTCAAATCGTCTCTGAAAGAGTGAAGACACTTACAAATTACAATACAAATTTGGTAACAAATACAAATTTGGTAACGTTAAAGCCTATTAAAATAGAAAAAGGTTCACTTCCGGTTGACGTGCGTGGCTCAAAAACGTCACAGGATAAAATCCCTAATACCATCCCACTCAGAAGACCTTTCAAGCCATTTCATTGGATTTCACGACAATCTTCCATTTCGGAGCTTTATATATTTAGCCGCTTACCAGAAGGTTAAACGCCTATCTACATTCATTTGTCCGGCGGTGAACGCATCTGGCAGTAAATCTCTGTTGCTGGTAATACAAGTTTTGTTCTCAGCTCCTCTGGAGTTTTCAAAAACGGCTTTCATTGACAAAAAATTGAAAGAAAAGCTACAATGAAGAAGATTATTATGGTGAGTATTTTTTAAGTAAATGAAAGTGAATACTTAGGCTCTGAATTAAATGTCTCAGTTTTCAACTCTAGACCCGACCTGTCTGTATACATGACATACTATCAAAATTTGGTTTTTTTTTACTGTAACAAAATAAGAAATACTGACTGCTTGCTGTGCTAGCTGTTTTATCCTATAATAGTAAGTAATCAATTTGCTATGCTTTAATCAGCGGGAAATTCATTTTAGCCAAAAGGGCATCTGTTATTGCCTTCAAACTCACAAGTGCGCTGTTCGTTTCCAAATTGAACCTAAAATGGAAAAGTGAAAATTGTAATATTCATCCCATCATGTCAAACCTTTCATTTGTCAATAAATTACAGAATGTGTCTTTAATAAAACCTTTTAGTTTACAACTTAAAAGTTGTCGGCGAAATGACATTCACCTCAGAACATCAAAACTTGTGTAAATGTTAAAATTCTTTATGTTCATATATGGTACGGGAAATTGAAATTAAAAACAAAAATACACCAGGAAATTAATATTATTATTGGGAATTAAAAAGACATAACAGCCTAAGTCGGAATTATTACTATTTCCATTAGCTTGCGACTTTTTTAAGCCAGCGTATTTTATTATGTTTCTTAGCGTGAATTTGCGTGACTGAAGGCCTGTACTCTCGAGTTTGGTGAAGTGTTCTAATGAACCTGGAGTTCTTTTGACGTTTTTTTTTCTTATAACGTTAACTGTAGTTAGTACTGTAATAGAACTGGCAGTTTGCAAACCTATAAATCACTTTATCATTTGTAGTGCAATCACAAGTGCTTTGCCGAAAAATGACTGCTTAATCACTAAATCACTTTCTTTTTCAATTGTATTAAATGTGATCAGATATGCTTTGCCCCAAAATCTCAAGCAAAACACTCACGCAAAATCAAGGTCCTTGACATCTTATCTCTTCAAATGATGAATTATTCTAAAGAATTTCAATTGACATATCATTTAAAACATGATCAAAACAAAAAACGGTCCTTTCTGTGAGCAAAAGGGCGTTCATGCAAATCCTTTTTCATTTTCATTTTGAGTTTCAATATCCCTTTTTCTAAGGCCATTAACAAGACTATTGTTGTGGTTTTCCGATAACTAGTTTCAACTGCAAGCAGATGGTAGAGACCACCAATCTATTACAGCCAAAAGAAGTTATTTATTTTACCATGATAAATAAATCCTTCATCCTGTCGAAGTCATCTGTCAAGTCAATCAGAATAATTCATACTGAACTGATATTCTCTGAAATATTTCAAACTTATCGCCAGGCCGGGCCGGACTGTAGTTCAGCGAGTTCTTGTATGTAATCGCAATATTACTTTACCTTTCACCTTATCAGTTCTTATGCTAAATTGATCACCATACCTGAGATTTAACAATTGTATTTTATCCTTTTTGGGTAAGAAAAAGTGTTGATCACAATCCTAGACGTCAAGTTCGGTCAAGTTCGCTTGCACAACAAATCTATATTGTATGATTGCTTGTAAACCAGCGCCTTTTTCGTCAGGAAAGCTTTAGCTCAAAACGAACCGTTTTATTCCTTACTTTGGTGGGTGCTAATTCTCGTCTTATTTGCCTTTTTTCTCATTCTAGCTTTAGAGACAGCAACATCATTTGATCTCAAGTTACAAACCTCAAACTTTGACAGATTTTCAAAGGCGCGTGTCAACCTTAAAAGCAACTGAAACAAGACGAGTTCACCAACTTCGAATGCACTGCAGCCCGGAGCCATGAATAACACTACACTTACTTTCAACTCAAGCAAACCTCTGGCCGGTACTCAAGGCAGTTCTTTAACGGTGGTTATAGCACTGACTCTAGCAAATGTATTGTCCATATTATCAGGAACGCTGGGTAACTCTTTGGTGATTATCTCTGTACTTATAAACCGGAGCATGCGTTCAACAACTAACTTGTTCATATCGTCTTTAGCTGCTGCTGATCTTATAGTCACCTCGACATGTATGCCGCTATTTTACGTTTACAACGTGCTTACATGGCCTGTTTGGCCTTTCGGAAAAATTGGCTGTCGAGTTTTGTCGTATTTGGTGCATATGTCCGTCATGGCCTCAGCGTTAAGTTTGCTGGCTATATCCTACGATCGTCTCCTCTCTATATTTTTTCCAATGAAACGATTAATTACTGTTAGCAGGGCTAAAAAGATGGTAGCGTTTATTTGGTTTGTTTCGCCGCTGCTTCTTCTCCCTTCACTCTTTCACCATGATATTCACTCAGAAATGGGTAATGACGCCAAGAAAGTGGAGTTGTGCTTAGAATCGTGGAGTACTATACAGGACATGCATATTTATCAGATGTACCGGATCTCTTGTTACTTTCTCTTCCTGTTACAGATATCAGTTGTCTATTTTTGTATTGGTTACCGTTTGTACACACGTCAGCATCCCGGAGAACAAACGTCTCAGAGTCGGGCTAAAGATTTACTGAACAAACGAAAAATAATTAAAATGCTATTTCTTGTGGTTGCGCTGTTTGCTTTGTGTTGGTTGCCGTACATAATCAACAAACTTTTGAACATTTTCCCTCCAAGAAAAGGTTACGTTCCACCGAATGTGTTTGTCTTCGTTGGAAATTTTCTGGGACTGTTAAACAGCGTGGCAAATCCTCTAGTTTACGCTGTGCTTAACAAGAATTTTCGTAAAGCATTCAAAAACACCTTGCAATGTAACTGTAAATATGAACTAGAGGAAAGACGTAGAACAGCCAGTGTAGTTAGCAAACAAACGCAACGTATGCGATCAGAAAGCCTCGTCGCTGACCGACTTAGAGCAAGTTCTCTCTCAGGAAGCGAAAATCCGGTCACTACTGTCCTCGCTGTAGATCGGATAAGGTGCCTATCGTTTACAAGCATTGAGCAAGAAGCTTTGGTTGAACTGACAAATTTCTCAAATTGCTCTCAACAAAACCGAGTTGTTGCACGAAGAAACCCTGAGAATCGGCGAGTAAGTTTTGGAGGCGACAACTTGCTTCACTCTGAAGAGAACGCGAACAAAAAGGTGGAAAAATCGGAAAATGAAACTGAAAATGTGAACCAGGGATTGCCGCATGCCTGTAATGAGATAAGCCGACCAAGACAGGATAGCGGCAGGTACTTATCTCCCATTAACGAGAAAGGATGTAACAACAAAAGCTTTGAGGAATAATGAGAGAAAAGTTGGCGAGAACGAAAAAAGAACGAAAAAAAAAGCCTGCCTAACAGGGCTTGGCGACAATGGTGAAATATTTGCGGCGACACAAAATATCAATTATCAAGTAATTCGTACGGATGAAGAGGGTTTTAAACTTTGCTAATAACACAATCGTAATCAGACATTTCAGACTATCTATCTAGTGATAATACCTACTGACATTCTCAATCTCAAATAACAAACTGCATTTAACCTAAACTAGTGGTCTATTATCAACGCTGTGTTCTGATTGGTTGAGCTACTGCTACTAGGCTATATGTTACAGCCTACTAGCAGCGAAAAGCGCCGGCGTTGAAAAACACAACAATGGCGGCTGAGTCTCGTTTTGCTAGCTAAAGTTGTTTTGTCTCGATATTTTTGAGCAACCAGTTCGATTTTACTAAAACAATTATTCTTCCAGCGGCCCGAATGGCCTCTTAGTCAATAGCCCATGAGGCCGACAGAACCCATTCGGGCTCGAGGAATAATATTGTTAAACGGGAGAATGAATACCATATTACCTATGTAAATATCAACAGTTCTTTATTCAAATATTTTTTACACTTATAAAAAGGAATTTACTTATTTGGAAGTTAAGCGAGTAAAGCTGATCATAGATCTACAGCAATTTTTATTGGTTTGTTTGTAAAAAATAGTCACGCTTTTCACAGGAATTCAACGACTTTAAGAAGTTGCAGAAGAGAATGTTAACAGTCTTTTATCTGAGCCGCTAACTCTAAATATTAGCCCAATTTCTACTTTTCCTGCTAAATTTAAAAATTCAATTTGCTTTCTAAATCGCGCAGATTATCTAGCATCATAATTTATCTTAATAAGCCTACTAACTACGTATGGTATATAAATGTTTAATAATAACGAAGTACACCCACAGAAAGCTTTACATCTTGTCTTGATAGCGAAAATGCTTAAAAAAACTCAAAAACTCTGCTTTCCTTTTCCAGATGCAATTTTCGTTGCCAACACTGGTAGACTAAGTAGTTTGAATCTCTCTCATACTAGCATTCCCAGCCTGTAAATGCCTTAAAAGCAAAACCTTAACGTGAAAAAAAAAAAGCACTTAATGTAACAATTTGCGAAACTTACGTAACACTACCAGAATCAATTTCGTTTTTCTTTCACATTTAAATTTGGTCATCCCAGCAAGGTTAAAATGACAAAAGCCCTTTGCACACAAAAGCATAGCCTGCGAACCGCAGACGTATTTCCGGTCGTCGCTTCTCTCCCTCCGAAAAATAACGGAGGGAAAAAAGCGACGACCGGAAATAAGTCCGCGGATCGCAGGCTAGCAAGAGCAAAACCCTGAAGAATTCTGGTAGTAGTAGTAAAATGACGCCACCTTGCAAATATAGAGTTAGCTGTGGCCTTTAACTTTATATACTGTAACTACTACCAAACAAACCTAGAAAATATATGAAAGATGAGTCAGCGGGTATTAACACAAAGCTACCATTAGTAAATTACTACCTGGCTAATCTGTAATACTCACGAAGGACTTAAATCAAAGAAATCAGAGAAGTCAACATGATCGACTAGTGCCTGGGAAAATCAATGGTACGAAACTTCAGAGGTTCTTACTCTACAATTTGATTGTTACACCAAGAAATCTAATGACCTTGGGGGTCAATAGGTTTTTGATGTTGCAGATGATGTACAAAACAATTGGAGAAACAGCCACACAATGAAATAGCGACAGCTAACCGCCAATCTGAACACCAAAACTGAAAAAAACATCATTGAAAGGGATCAGCAATGGCTTCGTCTGTCCAAGTTTACATTGATGAAAACCAAGAAATAACTACTAAATATATCAAGCATACATTTGAAAAAAATATTTTATAGGCAAAACCCATTCAGCTATTTAGCCACCTCTACATATTTTGGGTGATAAATGGGCCGCGGTTAAAGAATGAAAAATTTTCAGTTTAGAACACCGTTCGACCAGCAAAACTGATCAAGGGCGGGGATTTTCCAAATATTTTTCCTGTTGAAATGCAAAAATCTATTGACTTTTTTATGCCGAAATTCCCGTTCTTTAGTCGCGCCCCATTTGGGCAGTGATCCGCGTTCAAAGGATGGCGTCCATAATTCGCTGATCGGCTCAGCAAGGTCTTCCACCAGCATATGTGGGATTTTCAAATGTTGTCTTGGCTGCCTGATACAGGGGATTTTTCTCCTGAAAATCACACAACAGTCAGACCATGTTAGTTAAGCGTCGTGAAGCAAAATATAGAGAAGGATATATCAACGAGTGTGTACTTCCAATAACAGTAACGTGGTATTCTTAATTTATATTTCGCTAAGAAAAAAAAGGATTTGCTTGGCATTTTACAAAAAGGTTATCAAAAAGCTGCTTAAATGAGTTTTTGGCAAAAAAATTCACTCATCCTCGAAGCAATAAATTAAGAGAAAATGACAATTAAGTTCTAACTGCTTTTAACAACGTTCAGTAACACTCAACGAAATAAATGTATTTTGAAGCTTACCTTGGTCCATCTGGAACGAGCCTGCTCTTGCTGGAATTTTTGATACTCAATACGATCCTATGGTGAAAAACAAAATTTCTGAGCATTTTATACTAATTACCACTAAAGTATCCGTGTAGAAAGGCAAGATATCGCAAAGCAGAAACACCACAACAAAAAACGTATAAAAGTGTTTACATACCACCATGGTAAGAAAGGCTTTAATAAGTGCCAGGATGATAAGACCGAGGAGCACGATTCCACCAACCACTGCTGCTACAATAATGACAATAGGTGCTTCTTTTGGGCAGTTCACTATAATAAGAAAAGTTACTCATCTCAGCCTGTTCTCAACAAACCATTATCTTCCTTCTCCTAGCTTACTTTTATGAACTGGTTTTGATTTAGTGTAAACGCACGAACCTCCCGTAAGCAACCATCCAAAAAGGCGAAGATTAAGTGGTCGCTTACGAGAATCGAACACAGGTGGTCATTTCAAGCGAGGGTCCCCACACTTCAACATTTTGTAAAATAATGTATTGCACGCAATTTCACAGTTACGATATGTGTAGTTATATCTGGTCACTTAAAAATCTTCGTATACTCTGCGCAGCGTAGTACAACCAGAAAACAAAGACATCAATGCATGAAACATGCATCAAGCAGTCGCTGAAAACAAGGAAAATTATAAACTGACCGTTACCACAAAGTGTTTGCGATCACTTATGTGAGATGGTCATTTACGAGAGGTGTTAATTTCAGGGGTTGGAAAATTTTGGTATTTTCGATAGGTGGTCTCTTACAAGAGACGGGGTCCAAATGAAAGAAAGTGCCGGGGAAATCTGACTTGAGCAGCGGCATATGAGATTGCGTGAGAGCGATATTTTCCAACTTCCATTTCTTACTTGCTGTACATGGAAGTCCTCATAAGTGACAGAACGAGTCCGGTAATTACGAACAAGAATTAATTCACAAAGTATTCCTAATATCATCTCGAAAGTTTCAATTTCGTTTCAAAGAAAACGCAAGGAGTTGGGCCAAGTCAATCATTCTACAAATACACGAGGCAAGTTACACGAGAGGTTGTTTAAAATTAACAGTCCTGAAATCTTTGGCGAATTTGCGTAATAATCAGCGCTGTCCTCCTTGATCCGTTGTACAGGTACAAGATCATAACTGTTACAAGAGAAATTGTAACATTCATTGCACGCTCACCCAACGCGGTTTTAAATCAGTTTGCGCACAGATACAAAACAAACTCCATTTATTATTTTTTTCTGTTGTTTCAGAAATTTATGGAAACTTTCAGTTCCTTTTTGTCCAGCATCACGTCATTTTCTGGTACATTAATAATAACTTTGAAATACAGGCAGTAAAGCTCCGTCCACACGAAACCGCGGATATTCAGTTTTTGAAATCGCATTTCTTCAAAGGATCGGCCTGCCGTCCACACCAGTGAATCTGCTCACCGAAAAGTGGTTTAAGGTCCGGCCCGTTCACACAAATCACGACATTTCAACTTGAACTGTCCAAATTCGTGTGGACGGATAGGGCCTAAATATACTGCCTTACATTACACTGGATAAAAGGAGCAAAATTTTTACCTTTGTCTTTCTGCACATACAACTTGAAACTTGTGCTGTCCTTTTCTGTTTCAGTGGTAAAGTAATATGTACAACCGTCCTTTGAATCAAGTGCCTCGCATCGATACAGACCTTCATCTAAACAACAACAGACGCCGCTACAAGTTATTTATCGTAAAACGGAAAACTGTGAACATGTCAAAATCTACGTCTCCTGTCAAATAGCACATTGGAATCCGGATTTTCTGATTTCCCGATAAAACATGAAATCAAAACCCGATTTTGTGCTTGGAATTGTCAATAGAAATAGCGAGCACTTTAGTAAAGAATTTAAGTTCGTGGAAATCTGTTTAAGGAGTCTCGATTTTAAAGGAAAATTCATAGGTACATTATGGGCAATGTGGAAATGGTGAATTCAGTTTTTACCTGTCTTCTTTGTAATATCGGATACAACTTCAACTTCAAGTACATTAACCTCGCATCTTTCGACATTTTTGCATTCGTCTAAAGACTTTCCTTCGAACGTTGAACACTTTGCACAGTCCTCATTTCTACTGCACATTCCATCTTCGCAATACTGAAAAAAGAGAAATTGCGATTATTTTTAGTATTTACAAGCAATAACTAACCCGGCTTAGCCTGTGTACAGACGTCCCCCCTCCCTCAGAAAAAAATCGGTACACAGGCTAACCTAGCTTTAATGAATTCCAAAAGTCCAGTTTACTAAAAGCGAGCATGTTACATGTAGTTGATAACATAATATATCAAACACAAGAACTTAAATGGAGTATTTCTCGTCTGCCCACTCAAAAGTGGGTTAAAAGCACGAGGCCTAGCTGAGTGTTTCACAGCTAAGATATAACCAGTCATCAGAAAAACATCCTTTCGAGCGTTCGCTATATTTTCTCAA